AAACCAGATATGGCAGTAATACTTAATGCTTTATAAACATGCAAGACGGATTTTGGCGAGAAAAATTGTCTGGCACACCACAGGGAAACAATTTTCCTAGCAGCAGACCAAGCAAGGAAGACAAAGAAAATGTAACTAGTTGCTCTCCTGGAGGTTAGCATCAGCCATATGCTGATGGAAGGCAGAAAGAGTTCTCTAAGATGACTCGTATTCACATCATTTGTAGACTATAGTTGGGATCATCAAGCCAATGTGAATGATCCTTTCTTTAGCTGTATAGTATATGCTACACACAGGGCTACTTAGAGTTTTTGAATTCAGAGATACCTTCTCCTAGACCGGTTGCTACCCAAGGCTAAAGAACCCAGTCAATCCTACTATTTACCTATAGCTGGGAGGAAGAAGAAGAAGAGGAATCATACCTTTCTCAAGGATATTAGCATGTAAGGGAATGTAATGGATCTGACTGGTATTTGAACTCTGCTCTCCAATTTCTCAATCTGAACTGCTATCCATTACTCCGCCATACTTCCTCTAAGATGACTACAGGACTATATATATTTTTCAGAATTATATTTCAGGACAGTTCTGGGAGGATGATGAAAAAAAAAAGTTAGTCTGCAATCCTGACGTTGAATCTCCATACAATTTCAAAAACAGAATATCCAATCAGCCAGGCAGCTGCTATCATGTCATGTACAATTGCTGAAAATTCATGTTGCTTTGCCAGTGTTCACAGTGACTCACCAAGTATCAACTATCTTTGGTCTGGGTATTTCCATGGCATCAAGGTATGGTGGTGATACTTACCATTAACTTTACATACAATACCATGACTTTTGGCACATCAGTATACAAGAGACATAGATTTTGAGTGTACACATGGTGTCCTTCTTTTAAGCCAATATTCCTTGGATCTTCTCACCTAAGGCAGCTGCTTTCTGGCATATGGCCCCTCATATTTTCTATTGCTATGAAGTGCAGGAATTCTACTGAATTAATTGCTTGGTCTGCTACTAGGGAATCTGGTTCACTGTGTTGCACCAGATAGTTTTTCTCAATAGAACCCGGTTTACATGTTTATAAATTTGCCATTTGTAAAATGAGAATGAATTGAATCCAATTCTGATGTTCGTAATATTCAATTTAAGAGAAAGCACAATACAAAAGTAGAACAATATTCTTTATTTTAGGATATTACATTAAAAGCATGTAAAAAAAAAAAATGCTACATAAATACATTCAGGTTTCGATGTATACAGTTAGGTAAATGAGATAACTAGATATTAGCAACTGTAATGTGCTGATGTGCATATGGTGGTAAGCAAATAGATAATTACCAAATTTAGCCAAGAGGTGTAAACATAATAGTGCTCAATGTGATTAGACAGAGCTGAGAAATATATGTTAATAAATACACATATACCTACATTTAATATGCGACTCTAGTTTCGTTGGTTACCCAATTCATCACGCACAAGAGATGAATTTGGTAATCAACGAAATTAGAGTCGCATATCAAACGTAGGTATTTATTATCATATATATATATATATATATATATATGCTGCAGTGCTGCTATATATCTTGAGATTCTTGACAAAATTCAAAGGGTCTGTAATATAATTGACCCTGATCTGGCATCTCGACTTCAGTCACTTTCTTACCAATGTGATGTGGTTCCCCTTGCCCTGCCTATAAATATTTTCATGGCAATTGTTCTGATGAGCTTTTTTTTCCTTGGTGTCTCAACTGCATGAATGTAAATGTGCTACTAGATTGGAAATTAGGTCTCACCATTTTAATGTTCAACTAGCTCAATGCCACCATATGTTCTATTCTACTAGGTTCTTTTCTCGCACTTCTCACATGTGAAATTCTCTTCCAATTTCTTGCTTCCCTCCCACGTATGATCTTAAAAAATTTAAATGCAATGCTTATTGCTATCTTCTGTTTTCCCGAGTGCCGTTCCTTTATTGTCCTTTCTCCTCATTAATGTTTTCTCATAATCTTTCACTTCCAGCAACTCCCCTTGTGCTTTAGTGGTATTATCACCTTTTGGGGGGGAAATGATTCTATAAGATTAAAAAATTCCTCTAAAATCGGAAAATATGATCACAGTAAATAAAAAATAGGGATAACGTCTTACCGTTTGGTGAAGCAGACACTCTTGCACTGAAAGGGTGAAACAATGTCGATGACGATGAACAGATTAAGGAGTTTGTCGGGAATTAAATACTCGTTGAAATACTCCTCAGATCCATCTTCAAGGAATGCACTCAGAGCCTTACAGCCAGGATAGACATGACCCTCCTCGTCTTCTGCTTGGTGCATTATTTGGCCGTATGTCTTCCAAGTGTTCAGGAAGCTTGCAAAATTCTCGGAAATTTCCATAGATTCCCAGTCGGGGGGATCGTTTTCTTTGTGCACCAGCCACTGACTAGCAAGATGAGGAATGTCTTCATATAACTGAACAAAGATGGGAAAAAAAATATCAGTTAGGTTTTTTTTACTGTTTATCAACCCTTTGTGTGCTATTTATAGCTGAAACATTCTTTGGAATTTTTTTTGTGATTGTTTGGAGAGAGAGCAATGATTTTTCCAGATACAAGTTCTATTTAACCCATATCCGGGGGATGGATTCACACCTTTCACAAGGGTATTAACACATTCATTATTGATGAGATGGCAATATATAAGAGCTCAAGTCTCCAAAGTAGCAGTGACTGTTAATAAATTTAATTTTATTTACTAAAATATGGCTTAAGTTGTCTTCTATAGCACTCGATCTTGGTGGCACATGCAAAAGCAAAGATGATACCCATCACATGGTCTGCGTTTCAATCTGTAAAGATGTTAACCAAATTGAGTTTGGCACAAAATTACCAAAAGTGAGCATTAAGAGACAAAGTGAAAACATACTTACTGAATCTTTTGTTTCAAAAGCAAATTTTTCTGGTCGTTTCTTAGCCAAAAGATAATAACGGCATCTTGAGTTTGGGATGCCAAATTGCAAAGGGGTTAGCAAGAATTCCTGAAAAAGACAAAAAACAGGTTTTAGTTTTGACAAAATTTGCTCCCCTCTATTGAATATTTAAAAAAAAAAAAGAAAAAATTGTTATTCTGCCTTTGTACTCGATTCCCATCAATTGTTCTTTTTATGAAAAATATTAGGATTTCCATCATTTTATAAAGGTACAACAGATTTAGACAATTTTCAACCTGTTTATTATGAAATATTTCATCAACTTCTAAAATATTTTTTTTGCTTAAAAACATTAAAAATAAAACATTATGTAAAAATAATTTGGCAATTTGAAGAAGGCACCTGCATGTTTTTTTCTTTTTAATATTTTTCTTTGTACGACTCATTTTGGTTGCGTGTTCGATCGCTGGATCAGGATGTGCATTCCATGTCTGTTCAACTGGAACAAACTAGAAATGGAATCACAGACAAAAATAACACAACAATCAACAATTGCTGCCACACCGATATCCCAAGATTCATGACAAAATCCAACGAGGATCCGTAATGTTGGCATCTCTACTTTTCCATCACTGTGATGTGGCTTCCCACAGTCTTTTCTACGAATAATTTCATGGTAATTGTTTTATTAAGATTTCCTCCTTCGTATGTCAACTGCTCAAATGTAAATGTACTACTAGGTTGGTAATTAGATCTCATCCATTAATTAGAGAATACATAGATATTCCCCCCTCTACCGCCACAACATTCATCATTTTGGTCCCTTAATAAGATTATTCCTCAATGTCACATGACATTAACATTTAGCATGAATTTTCCTCATGTTACTAAAAATTTAGAAACTAAGTTTCTGTGTTGGAGGCGGGGGGGAAGAGTGCCAGATGGCAGAGAGGGAAGGAGGAGGGGGGGAGTGCCAGATGGCGAGGGTGAGCAGGGGAGAAAGAATGCCAGATGGCAGGGAGAGCAGGGGGGAGAAAGAATGTCAGACGGCGGGGGTGGGTAGAAGGAGAAAAGAGTGCCAAATGGCGGGGGAGTAGAAGGAGAAACAGTGCCGGGTTGAAGGAGAAACAGTGCCAGATGGTGGGGGTGGGGGGTTAGTGGAAGGAGAAAGAGTGCCAGATGGCAGGGAGAGCAGGGGAGAAAAGAGTACCAGACGGCGGGGGGGAGAGAGGAGAAAGAGTGCCAGATGGCGGGAGGGGGGGAGAGAGAAATGTGCCAGATGGCGGGGGGACTGCTAGATGGCTGGGAGGGGAGGAGTGCTAGATGGCAGACTGAGGATGGCAGAGTTGGGGAGAGTGCCAGATGGCAGGGAGAGCAGGGGGAGAAAGAGTGCCAGATGGCAGGGAGGAGGAGAAAGAGTGCCAGATGGCGCAGGGGTGGGTGAAGAAAGAGTGCCAGATGGCGCAGGGGGGTGAAGAAAGAGTGCCAGATGGCGCGGGGGTGAAGAAAGAGTGCCAGATGGCGCGGGGGGTGAAGAAAGAGTGCCAGATGGCACAGGACGAGCGGGTGAAGAAAGAGTGCCAGATGGCGCAGGACGAGCGGGTGAAGAAAGAGTGCCAGATGGCACGCGGGGGGTGTGTGAAGAAAGTGTGCCAGATGGTGGTGGTGGGGAGTCTGCCAGATGGCGGGGGGAGTGCTAGATGGCAGACTGAGGATGGCAGAATTGAGGAGAGTGCCAGATGGCAGAGGGCGTGAGAGGGTGCCAGATGGCAGAGGGCGTGAGAGAGAATGTCAGATGGCAGAGGGCGTGAGAGAGAATGCCAGATGGCAGAGGCCGTGAGAGAGAATGCCAGATGGCAGAGGCCGTGAGAGAGAATGCCAGATGGCAGAGGGCGTGAGAGAGAATGCCAGATGGCAGAGGGCGTGAGAGAGAATGCCAGATGGCAGAGGCCGTGAGAGAGAATGTCAGATGGCAGAGGGCGTGAGAGAGAATGTCAGATTGGTGAGGGAGAGATGGAAGTAGAGAGAGAGAGAGAGAGTACATTCAAATTGTACCTGGTATTGATAATCACACTTCTCCAGAGTTGACATCAATCTTTCCCTGGCCTCGGATATTTCAAAACCTTTTACATTTTCCAAGAGAATGTATGATGGACGATGATTTAATCTGTGAAGATAAGAAAGATATTTAAAAATAAAAGGAAACATTTTTGCTGATAATTTTTTTGGTACAAATCAACAGAAAGCAATTTTAATTAGTAAATTTAATCGAAATCGCTTCTGAACCAGGTCCAATATAAATTGAACGTTCAGCTTCTCTCCATTTTATTCTCGTCTCTTACAAGATGCTAACAGATGCTACCACCCCAGGTCAGGGTGCACCTGGGAACACCAGCAATTAAGAGGTGGTTCCACGCTCCTCAAAACCTCCTGATCAGAGGCCTTGCTGCTGGATATAGTTTAATGTCTTACCCAGGATGTGGTGTTCCATGAAACATGAAAACTAGTTCAAGGATTCCACAAGAGTAAAATGGTTGAGAAATGCTAATCTATTCTATTTTTAATTTCCTTATAGCCTATACTAAAATCCTTGGTTATTATGATAAAATATAAAAGAGATATTAATAATAATGGTATATAATAACAATAAATGTAACAACAAAACAATGAATGGTATTTTTAAATTTAGTCAAATGAATCTTGTAACAATGTTGGAATATTTCCTCAGCAATGAAGGAGAGACTTGAAGTAAGAGAAATGTGCTTATATTGACGAATGCTGAGAATACCTTGGAAGGAACATATGACCAATGAAGAAGTTTTAAGGATAATGAGAACAAAAAGTGATGTATTAATAAAAAGGAAAATTTCATAAGAAACAAAAGGAAAAATTTCTGAACTGCTATATAATAGCAATCGTCCAATATTGCACTGAATGCTGAACAATCTCCTCGCAGATGAAGAGGAGACTTGAGGCAACAGAGATGTGGTTCTACAGAAAGATACTGAGAATATCATGGATGAAACATATGAGCAATGCGGAAGTTTTAAGGAAAATATGAAGTATGAAGAAACTTATACTTAGAATCAGAAAAAGAGAAAGTTGAAATTTTGGGGACACATAATGCAAACTGTGGAGGCCTGGAGAATTTATCGCATGGCACTGAGGCATAATGAAGTAGGACAAAAGAGTGAGTAACCTACTTGAGTTTGTGACTGGCAGAATAAAGACAAATAGAGATGGTAAAGAGTCAAAGGTTACTTAGAGCAACAAAAAGCAGGAAGTTGTGGAGAGACATGACCATATACTCAGTAGTTATGTTTGGAGACTTAGAGAAAGGATTTCTATATGAACACAAAAGAACATCTGTCAATATTTGAACTTTCTTTTTTTTTTATAATTTCCCCCTAAGAAAGGCAATAAAGCTACTGAGATGTAAGAGGTTACTGAGTGTTAGAGAATATGAAAAAGCCCAAAATGTTAATTACAAATTGGTGACACCGGAATCAAGCAAGTACAAAAATTTAATTTCACTGTAAGAAAGGCAATAAAGCCACTGAGATGCAAGGGGTTACTGAGTGTTAGAGAATATAAAAAAAAGCCCAAAAGGTTACAAATTGGTGACACCGAAATCAAGCAAATAGAACAACTTAAATATTTGAAGTGTTTTAACAGAGGATGGAAAGTGCGAGACTGAAATCTGAAGTCGCATTGAGATAGTGAAAGATGTTACACAAAGTACATTAAGAAGGAGAATTTTGTTAGAAACAAAGAAAAGAGTACTGAACTGTTATGTAATTGGAATTTTGGTCCTAATCGGTCTGTTTGCTGCAATTGGACTTATCGCCTGAATCAGAGTTAAAGCGAGTTTTTGGAGTTCTATGGTGTGAATTGAGGAATTTAAAGTTATTTCTTCAAAATTATCATTGATGGTTTTCTAAGCTAGAGCAGAGGTCCTTTTAGCTTTATTTCTGAGGCCCAATTAGCCATCCACAGGAGCTAGTCTAAAAGTCTGCACAGAGTGTGGCTTTTAAGCTAGTAAATAAATAAATAAAAAAAAGGCTCATGTGAAATGCATTTTGAAGGCAGATAAATAGTAATTTAGGAATAACAAATTCAAATATTTTTTTTAAATGTCACAGAAATTAATTTGCCTATTTAAATTTTCTGAATCTGTTTCTTGTCAAATATTTTATCAGGTGACCAACAGAAGAAAATAAAACAGAATAATTTATCGAAAGAAAGCATTTGAAAAGTGACTTTCTAAATTAAACCAAGGGAGATAATCCTAAAAATTATGAGGCTACATCTATGTTCATTATGTTTCATTATGTTTGTTGACCAGGCTTAAAAGTTGTTTGATAAATCTTCACTCATTCATCAGAATCAACCCCTTGCATCTCAGTAGCTTTATTGCCTTTCTTAGGGGGAAATTATAAAAAAAAAGTTCAAATATTGGCAGATGTTCTTTTGTGTTCATATGGAAATCCTTTCTCTAAGTCTCTAAACATAACTACTGAGTATATGGTCATGTCTCTCCACAACTTCCTGCCTTTTGGATATCAATTCTGATACTGATAGAATACTCTTAATGAAAAAATTCGGTTCCCTGGAAGACTGCAAAAGGAACTTAGAGTAATTTGTTGTGGAAAAAGATTTAAAAAAAATAAAAAAAATATTTAATTTAATTTATTTCTGAAAGTTTAATTGAAATCGGATAATTATTTGATTTTTGCAAGAATTTACAAATCAATGTTTTTCACCACAAAATGATGCCCAAATTTCTCATACTAATTTATTATTTCTGAGTTCAGGCCAGTAAAATTTTTTTTTAACCAAAATTTCCAAGGTTCTAAAAAGGATTAAAAAATATTTTTTTTGTTTACATAAAAAAATCCTGGTAAAAGTCTACAATGGAAGGGGGGAATAATTTTTGAGTTAAAATTTATATATATCATTGTTTCTAATATATTTTATTTTTTTTTTTTTAAATATATATTCAGATATATATTTTAATTTGTGTGGATGCTTTTTGATTGCTTAATCTCTGAGAAAACTCTTTGACGTGAAGCCAGCTATTCTCTGTTTGTGTATGAACTAAAAGATTCATGTAAAATTTACATGATTCTTGAAAATTGTAAAAAAAAAAAAAAAAAAAAAATCAAAATTATTTTCATGAATTATAATTTTGTGATTGTAGCCCAGATTACTTTTTTTTTTTAGTCCATTATAAGCAGACCAACCATCACTAATAATTGTAGAACCTTGTTCAATATGTATTCTGATGACTACTTCTTGAGTGCTTCTTGATCTATCAGGAACAAATTCTGCAAAGTCATTAAATTCTTCAGAATTTTCTTTAACCTTTTGCCTGTCCTGTACATTATATGTGATGCACACAACATGTGATGCACACGACATGTGATTTCCACGTTTGTGCATCGTATGTGGTACACACAAGCCATTATTTTAAAAGAGTGGTAAAACTAAAGGCACTTAAGAAAAGAGTCTATAATTGAGCAGAATGTCTGAGGAAAGGCTTAATCTAATATTTTGTGAAACATCTATATATATATATATATATATATATATATATATATATATATATATATGACCACAAGATGCTTGACCATTTCCAGATTTATAGCTATTGCAAAGAAATTAAGCTAAGTTGCCTTGCAGTAATTAAAAATCTAAAACGAAGTATGAACATTTGGATAGTAAACACAAAATCTGCCCTGGACAGACTAAGGTTAAATTCCCTCAGACCTATTAGTATTAAAATTAGTTTCATTTTTGCTTACCCGAATTTATGGCCCTGATTCTAGACTCTTGCGAAAACCCTTTGATCTTTCCTCTTAATAAGAAAACTTGGATTTTGATAATAAACATTTTTTTTTCTATCATGTATCCTTTTTTTTTTTTTTAGCAGTGTTTTTGAGATACCTAGATAAAACTGGCTGGTGGCGGGAGTGTGGGTGCAGAATTAGTAAAGTAATTGAAAAATGGTAAAATACAGAATAAAATGTTAGATATGTTGTTCAAAAATGTTAATATCAAAAACAGAAATTTATTTTTATTTTTCCTTGCAAAACTGAACAAATTTTTCATGTATCCCAATATATTCGTTGAATATATTGGGATACATGAAAAATTTAAGAAAAAAAAAGTTTTGTACTGACTCAAGACAAGGGAGATAATCCTAAGAATTACATTCAACAAAACTTTTAAAAGAAAACCCCAAAATGTCTAATTTATTAATCATCCAGGTGTTAGGTAGGATGAAGTGGGGCTGTTGGTGCTGAATCACTCTCCACTTTTTGGTAAAACTGAGAATTAAACAGAAGATTAAATTTATATTCTTGGATTAAATCTGTGACAATGCTACTGGGCTGAGTCTAAATTATTTACTGCCATTCATTTTTAACATTTCACTCGAAGCAAATCAATGAAGCCACTAAGATGCAAGATTGTAAAAGAATATGAAAAAAAAAATATTAAAGAGAGAGAACAATAAAATGAACAGTAATTCAGAAAACGGTAAATAATAATTGATATTTCATTTTTGAGGATCAAAGTTCACTGGAAAGCAAGAAGTCAGGAGAGTTCCACAAGCGAGAAGTGTGAGAGATGAAATTGTTAGCATATGTTACAATTAGATCTCTTTCAGATTCATTCTGCATGCTGGCCGGATATGAACGCCATGAAGGCAGAGAACAAAATTAAAAAAAAAGTCCCTTTCTGTGCATAGGCTCTGTCAAGCTGTCTTGTCCAGGAAACACTGCTGCTGCTGTGGCCGCAGTAGATGTGGTACCTTTATGATTAAGGTCTTACAGAATTTGCGATTGTGGTCTTCCATGACGTACCTGGAATTCTGTGATTAGATTTTTGGATAAAAAGGTAGATTTACGCATCAGGGTGGAGGGAATAGCCTAATGGTAGCGACTGTGGGAAAAAAAAGTATCAGCAAACTGTGTTCAAAGTTTGGCTGTATGTTCATTTTGCTCTAAAATCTTTGGAAAAGGCATGAATTTACATCTCCCTGAACTGTCTCATTACTCGATATCTTGTCATTATTGACATACCACTGTGATTGAAAGAAGAAAAAATAGAAAGGGCAGTCATGGTCAGGGATTCTACTCTGCAAATCTGAAATGAGATGGGCACTGCCAAGTGACTACTTTGCTTTAGAAATGCTACAAGGCATGAATTGACATCTTCCTGAAGTCTGCCAGATCACCAAAATCTTGACAACAGCATTATTAACATACCACATCTGGTCTGGCACTCGGGCAATATGCCTTGAGATTTGTGACAGAATTCAAAGAAAAATCTGAAGATTTAGCAGTTCTTATCTGGCATCTCAGCTTCAGGCACTTTCCCTACCACACTAACATGGCCTCTCCATGCATTTTCTATAAATATTTTCATGGTAATTCTTTTAATGAGCTTTACCCATTTTTGTCCCTCCATTGTAAATATGCACAAAGGTTAATTTTTTTATAAAGTTGTTTTTTTATCCCCCTCACCCCACAGAGATAAATTGTACATATGGGGGCTAGTTAGGACTTCATAGAGACATTGTGGTATTATGGTGACTGTAGTAAGATTGACAAGTAAGAATGTGTTGTTTTGGTGCAAGGAATATTATACTTTGTTTGGGTCAGTGATTGTGGCTAGCTAAGTTGAAGATAGGACAGCTGAAAACCAGCATTCCCCACCCACCCCACTTTTTTCTCTTTTTGGGTAGTACGGACTTACAGCCAGTAGAAGGAGCATGAATTGAGCAGTATTAAAAAATGAAGCGAGATAATCCTAGACACAGACAGTAGAAGAGGGCTGTGGAGTCGGAACACAAAACCTTTGACTCCAACTCCTCTATTTTTGGCACCTCCAACTGTGACCTCTCTTTGTGCCATATTTCTTGTATTTTAATCATAATAAATATTATGTTTCTCTTTTTTTTTTTGGTACTTCAAATTCATGAATGTGAGTGTAGTACTAGATTGGCAGTTAAGTCTCATTATTTTTCTGTGGAACTTTCTTCTTGCTTTACTGTAAAGGATAATCTTTAAAAATCTAAATGCAACATAAATCCCCATCTACAGTCATTTTGAAAACTGTTCTTTTATTGTCCTTTCTCCTAACATTTTCTCATGTTCTGTCTCACTCAGTAACCCGTTGCATCTTAGTGGCTTTACTGCCTTGCTTGGGGTGAAATGATTAGAACCCTCCACAACCCCCCCCCCCAAAAAAAAACCCTCCTCTGACTAAAAGAAAAGAAAAGTCATGGTCAGGGATTCTTTTTTGGTTTAGAGGTGCTACAAAAAACCCCAAAAAAAACAAGACAATTGAACAAGTCAACAAGTTATAACCATAGTAATAAAAGAATCAAAGACAACAGATAAAGTTGATGGTTGATTGGGGGGGGGGTTCTCGGTGAAAGATATCTTACAGGTGGTGGTGATGGGGCCCACTGAAAGATTTGGGGGGGTAGTGTAGTGGGGGGTCGATGAAAGATTTTCCAGGATGGGGTTTGTTCAATAAAAGATTTTTGGGGGTGGTGGGTGGTGGTGGTAATTGCTGAGAGATTTTCTGGGTCGGGGAGGATTGATGAAAGATCCAAGAAAACAAATGCCAAAAAATGTTTGCCTTTACATTTTCAGTTTGTTCCAAATAATTTTCTTTTCAAAATTAAAGCATAAGAAAGAAAGAATCAGAAAAACAAGTTTATCCAATTTTATCAAATGTTGAGTATCTTTTTCTGGTAACAATGTGAAAGAGTCTTAGGTGGGATTTTTGCTTGGGCGGCAAATCAAGATGAAGCAGGTGGAAAGACACAGAAATATTTGGCAGAGGTAAAGAAAAAAAAAAACAAGGTAAATTGCTTAAAACTCTTAAGATAAAGATCTAAGCTAACTTCAATAATGGAAACTGAATCCAGACCCCACAAGTTTAAAATACAACTCACTTTGGCAAGCAGTCAAGAATATGAAGGAAAGAGGATGTACGGCCATCAGCGCAGTCACGTTTTTTACCAATCCGGGTAAAGGGTTGACATGGTGGGCTCATCAGGATCATGTCCAATTGTAGTTTATCAAGCCATGATGGGGTCAGTGTCTACAATTAAGGAAAAAAAAAAATTAAATTGCAAATTTCAAAAGAAAAAAAACACAAAAAGAAAACAAAATTTTCATTTTCTGAGATGAATTATTTATATTACTTCATTACAATTGTTATCATAACGTTTCGGCTATTGTGCCCTCTGGCCTTCTTCAGATATCTGTCAGTTTGGTTTGTTTTATGGCATATCAACCTCAATAGGTCATTTAATGCTTATAAGTTTTTTTTTTTCCTGGTAATATTTTTTTTCCTCAAAATTGTATAGCTGGTAATATTTTTTTTTCAAAAACGTATTGCTGGTAATATTTTTCTTCAAAAATTTATTTCTGATAATAATTTTTACAAAGTATTTCTGGTATTAAAACCTATTTTTACACTTTTATAATGCTTTTTACCTCAGTTTTGGGGTTAACTATTTGCCCATAGCTGGGACCCTAACAAGTGGTACCACCCCAGGTCAGCAATTAAGAGGTGGTTCCACACTCTTCAAAGCCTCCTGATCAGAGGCCTTGCTGCTGGATGTAGTTTATCATTATACCCAGGACACAAATGCAGTTTATCATCATACCCAGGATGGTCTGTCAATCTAGGTAACCTTCAAGGAATTTTGAATGGAACCCGTTATTTAATCTCAAGGGTAAATTGCTGATGTCTACAGCTATCTCATCTTTTTCTTTAGCTGAGTAGATGAAAGCTTTGATTTGTAGTATAGTAATCCCTGCTCTGGGCAGTATGGACTTACAGCCAGTAGAAGGAGCATGAATGGAGCAGTATTAAAAAATGAAGAGAGATAACCCTAGACACAGTAGAAGAGGGCTGTGGAGTTGGAACACAAAACCTTTGAGTCAGACTCCTCTATTTTTGGCACCTCCAACTGTGACTCCTCTTTATGTAATTAAGTGATTATGGCCTACAAATCTCAAAGCCTATACATATGTTCCTAACTTGAGTAGGCCTATATCTTTATAATGTGTTTATATCAAAGAATAAAGATATTGTGGCTTTTATATCATACCTATTCATTCTTCAATATTTTCTAACAGAATTAGAGACAAAATCTTTGCAAGAATATAGAAGAAATAACCTTTATCCACTGTGTCCTCAAGGACACATGGCACAGTGGATAAAGGCGTTGGTTAGATCCAGTGACAGACCCAAAGAAGGTGAGTTCAATTCCTGGTTAAGGCAGTGGAGAACTTTCAGAGGGAAAATTAGCAGGAGATAACTGATAACTGACATCCATCAAAACATGGCACGTGGAACTAGAACAGTCTACCCCAGTGATCGAAATAAAGGGTTCAGTTCGAAATTCCAACCACCTCAAGAAGGCCGAAACCTTGTGACACATATGGCGACAAAGATGAGGACAATAGTCCGATTAATGTAAATACTCTAGAAGAAATAACAATAAAAATGCTATAATGTAAGATTTTTTTTATACACATACACGTGTGTGTGTGAAATGTGTGTGTGTATATATATATATATATATATATATATATATATATATATATATATATATACATATATATATATATATATATATATATATATATGCAATTTTTATATTATATATGCATGGTACTTATTGGAAAGCACTCAATATCAGTGATAGAGCTGACATTTAGTTGGATTGATGTGAGTTTGTGACCCTGAATTTCATGCTATTTGCTATCGTCAGACAAACTCTTTGAAAATAGCATGAAACCCAGGGTCACAAACTCACATCAATCCAACTATATATATATATATATATTATATATATATATATATGTTCAAATAAGAAAATAAGTACAGAACAAAAATAAAACTACTTTATAACAGAAGTTGAAATATAATCTTTTACAGGATGTAAAAGACATAACAGAAATAAAAATTCTATAATATAAAATATATATAGTTTTGCAAATACAAAATAAATACAAAAAATAAAATGACTTTAAAAAAGAAGTTGAGATGAATTTCTTTAAAGGAAATAGTAAATATACAGTAGAAGAAATAAAAATAAAAAATAAAAATTCTAAAGTGTAAATTCAATTGAGTCAGAGTTGGTATAGTTTTATTGACTCAGACTCAAGTGACCTCTTAATTGTTTCCAACTCCAAAACTCTGATTCCACAGCCCTGCAGTAGAATGTGATCAATCCACTCCTGTAGATTAAATAAAGGGTTTAGACAGACACTTTAGCATACAATGCCCAAAACATTGTGATAACAACAAAGATGAGGATATTAGTTCAAGTAAAAACAGTCTAAATGTGTTTAATTTTGTGGTTCCTAGCCATTTTTAAAAATTAAATTCTTGAACAGATCTGAAGATTATTAGAATTCATCATCCTCCTCCTCCTTCAACCTTCTGATAGTTGGTCAGAACTCCATTGACAATCCCTTTCCACATTGTTTTGACCTGCATCGCTGTCTCCAGATCTCCAATTTCCAACCCTGAGTGCTGAGCTATGGTGTCTGGGAAAGTCAATTTTCATGATAAGACACTTCCTGAAGGATGCCATAGGAGTAAGAATGAGACAATTTCCCTGTCCACTTTTTTTCCTTAATTGTAGACACTGACCCCATCATGGCTTGATAAACTACAATTGGACATGATCCTGATGAGCCCACCATGTCAACCCTTTACCCGGATTGGTAAAAAACGTGACTGCGCTGATGGCCGTACATCCTCTTTCCTTCATATTCTTGACTGCTTGCCAAAGTGAGTTGTATTTTAAACTTGTGGGGTCTGGATTCAGTTTCCATTATTGAAGTTAGCTTAGATCTTTATCTTAAGAGTTTTAAGCAATTGAAATTTTTTTCTTTGAGCTAAAGAGAGATTGGCCTCAGTTCTCTGTTAATTGTGTTAAACATTGCACGGGATCTCCAACTGATGTTTTGGATTTTTATATTGTATATTTTTCTAAGTAGATTTGTATATGCTACATCCAGTCATCTTTCAAGATATCTCTCTGGAACCAAATTTCGACTTTTTGAAGTGTTTGGCCTTGTGATTTGTTTATAGTTCTTGCAAACACAGGGTGAGATGGAAACTGAATTCTTGTATATATAAAAATTTGATATGCCGAAAGCAATACTGCATTTTTATTAAATAAGTATTTGTTATTTTAATCATTAAATTGTTTTTAAACAGTTAAATACTAAAACTTTTAATTTTTTCAAAATAGATTATGAAAAATTGATTGTACTAAGCTACACAACATAGTAATACCCGCTTATCTGTTTACACGTCTCCCTAAAATTTGGTTTTGATTGGTCAATGTATAGGTATTTTAGAGAGTGTAATGGATGTACGGACTAACGAAGTCACAGAATTTTATAGATAGTAGTATGGATCTAATGTTATTGGGAACAAAAATCCAAAGAACTTCTTCCCGCCACTGTCAATTGGAAAGAAATGGTGTGGTTTGGGCACATTACAAGGCATGACAGCCTGTGCAGGACCATCACGCAAGGCACTGTTGAAGGAGGATGTAGAAAAGGATGCCAATGCAAAAACTGGTTGGACAATGTCAAACAATGGACAGGTATGACTGTACCAGAATTGCTGATGGCTGCCGTTGATAGACCATTGTGGAAAAGAGTTAGTGTGGCTTCTGGATTCAGATCCTCCCTACAATTACAAAAGTTGAGGGGATGATGATATCATGAGGAGGAGTAAAGAAAATTGGACATTATCTCTATTACAGATCTAAGCAGTTAACAAAACAAACTGGCATCTGCTCTCGAAGATGAACTCCAATCAGTTGTTAATTGGGGCAAGAAATAGCTTGTAAATTATTTTAATTAATGCTTCCAAAGAAAAAAAAAAAAAAGGAAAAATTGGACATTACCTCAATTCCAGCTTCAAGCAGTTTACATTCAGGAAAATTGTGTGTATATATCTGATTGGCAACTGGATTGATGTCTATAGCTGCAACAACTTTGAATTTTATCCCACTTTCTAAATGAAGAAAAAAAAATCAATAAGGTTGAATTATTAAATGATAATCTATAAATATTTTCATAGTAATGATTCTGATAAACTTGCCTCTTTTATTGGGGTTTCTTATTTAGATGTTATTTTTATTCCCCCCCTCCTACAGACAAATTGTATGTATAGGAAATAGTTAGGAGTACATAGAGACACTGAGGTATTATGGTGATTGAAGTAAGAATGTGGTGTTTTGGTGTCAGTAATTGTAGTTAGCGTAATTTTAAGATATGACCGATTGAAGACCAGCCTTTTCTTACCCACCACAGCCTTGTGCCACATTTTCATATTTTTCAAAATAAATATTACATTCCTTTTTAAGTGCAGAACTAGATTGGCACATCTGATGTGATGCTTCAGCTATGTATTTAGAGATTCTTGACAAAATCCAAAGAAGAATCTGCAATGTTGTCAGGCCTGACCTGTCATCTTTGCTTCAGTCATTTTTTTTCACCACTGTAATGTAGCTTTCTTGGACCTTTTCTATAAATATTTTCATGGTAATTGTTCTGATTACCTTTCCCTTTTGGTACCTAGAGTTTATGAACATAAGTGCAGTACTAAATTGGTGGCATGGTCTCATCATTTCATAGTTGAAATGGCTAGATAGAACTGCAAATTCTATGCTGTTTTTCCTATCACACTTCACACTACTAGAACTTTGTTACAGCTTGTTTTCCAGCTAATTTTGATCTTCAAAAATTTAAATGCAATGTCAATCGTTATCTTCTGTCTTCTTTATTGTTCTTATTGCCTTCTCTTTTAAAAATATAACAATATGTAACCCTCTACCTCGAGAGTCTCTTAGGCCTTTTTTCTCATGTTCTTTCCAATTTAGTACACCCCCCCATGCTTTGCTGGCCTTATTTGCCTTACTTGGGGAAAATTAAAAAAAAAAAAAAAAAAAAAAAAAAAAAATCGCTTAAAAACATGGAAAGTTCCACTTCAATGTCAAAATCAAGATTACAAGAATATTTCCTATTTATTGCAGCATTCTAAGTCAATTCCAAACCAAAAAGATAAAAGGTGTGGGTGGGTGGGTGTGGGGGGTATCTTCCTTTAAAGCACCCAAAGCATTTCTGCATACTAAATACTTAGATTACTTTACTGGCCTAATATTCTAAAACTGAAAATTTATAATTGGGAAATTTAAAAAAAAAAAAAAAGGTATAAAATTTTACAACTGAAATAAAAAAAAATGACGTACATTAAAAATCAAACAGAAAAAATAACAAAAAGTTTATTTAATATTTATCTTTCATGTCAGCAAAAAACAAACTGGTTATTCCCTTGACACCACTATTACTGTATACAGTTTTCATTCCTACAACTATGTTCGTTTTTAAAAAGCAATACTTAGAATTTTAAACTCCGAACATATAAAATTGGATTTTTCTTTATTCTTGAGAATTGACAGTAAAGATGTTAAATGCTATTAGATTTAATAAAAAGCTGGGTTTCATAATTATTTATAAAATGGTAAATAATAAATATTGCATTGTAGATGGTTTACGTATACAGTGTAACCCGGATATAAGAGAGTTGTCGGGACCGGAGAAGAAGTCTCTTATATCCAGGTTTCTCTTATTTTATATACATTAACACAGGCTCTAATTTGGGACCAGAGGAAATCTCTCTTATATCCGGGTTACACTGTATTAGTAATTTTGTTAATTTTTATAAATTTTTCAAATTTGTTTCTTTATAAAAGTTAAATAATAAATATCACATTGTATTTGGATCACCTATATTTATAATCTTGTAAATCAATATTGTCAAGGGAGTCAAAAGTATGTACAGTAATAGCGGTGTCAAGAAAATAAGTCTTTTTAACACACTATTTTTTTTTTTTTGTAGCCTGAATGTTTATAGTGACTGCAAAGAGGGAAAGAAAAGAAAAAAAAACTAAAAACAAAACAAAACAAAACAAACCAAAAAAAAACCCAACAAAACAAGGCATCCTCAGACTGGGAAACCAATAGATTATATTTTAATTTTCTCACAGGATATAATGTAGTTGTCATAATGTAGTTGAAATAAAGTATTTTGCATTTCAAATGTTGTTGTCTTTTTTCTTTTTTTATTTCTCATACAAGAATTTTAAAATTCAAAAGCAAGACAAATGGACTTTTTTTTTTTTTTTTTTTATTTTGCTTATTTTTAATTTTCTTCTTAAAATAATATTATTATTTTATCAATTATCATTTATTCATACTTATTATTTTCTTAGATAATTTTTCTTACTTTTATTTATTTTGCTTATTTTCATTTTACAAGTTGCTTTATTGATTGTGGGGTCCTTGGACTTGTTTCTTATCTTCAATGATCTTCCCGATACAATCAGTTACTGACTCAGTATCTATGCAGATGACACACAACAATTTACTCCTGTCTTAATAGTAAGTCTGATAGGACTGACCAAATGAAACTGGCAACTGCTCTTGAAAATGACCTCTAATCAGTTGTTAAATGGGGCAACAAATGGCTTGCCAATTTTAATGCATCCAAAATGAAACTATCTTTTCACCATCATAGAAAACCCTTTTTGACTTCCATGAGCATATGGCTTATGCTAATCTTCAAGAGAATAATTGATTAAATTATGATTATTTAGCAGCACTTTTTTTTTTTTTTTTTTTACAAATGATTTTAGAAAATCAAACAAGGAGTAAAAACTTGTTTCTCCTTACAAGAAATAGCAATAACATTAATCAGCAAATTGTTTTGTTTTTGGCAAATGTCTTCAATTTTACGATAAAATGTTGATATAAAAACGTATTGCTGGTAATCGAAAATTCCAAGAAAAATGTTTGAATATTTAATGTTTTGCTTCCTTAATTTAACACAAAATAAAAATTCTGTATAATCATGTTTGCTTGAAAAACGATTTTATTTACCAACTTTTAGTTTAAAATAAAAAAAAAAAATTAACAAAACCAAATGAAAGACATGATACAAGGGAGACCACTTTTTATATAGAGAGAAAGTTGTCTTTTCTTGACCAACATTTTCAATAAAAGGGGAAGTTGGAATAAGGATGTCTAACGTGAATTTTCTACATTAAGAAAAATTTAATAAGTAGATAAAATAATTGTCCTGGCCCGTCTTATTTGAAACTCAAGTCGTTTTAAAAAGGTAGTAGAATGTATGTAACAATCACTTAAGAAGGCGATGAAAAAAAATTAAAAAAATAAAAATAAGACAGAGTTTTCCAAATTTTTCTTTTCCTGGGAGGAGGAAAAGGAAGCATTTTTTTCTTTTTTAGAACATGAATATTCTGCATTCAGGTAAAACGCGGAATCGAAAGTCGACAGGTAAAATAAAATAAAAGCACTTCTCAGTTACCCGACTACATAATGCAAATGATGAGTTATGCAATTTTAATAAACGACTATATTTCTTTTAATAATAAATAATTTTTTTTAAAGTTTAATCAACAGCTACACAATCTCCCCATGGTCAATTTTCTACTGCTGGTTTCTATGTTGGGTTAAGATTCGTCTAAAATATGTAGTCGTATAACTGAAAAGTGCCAAAAAATAAGACAAGAATTTTAGTAAGGGAGACGGCTTCTGCTTTAGGCTTTCTTTTTAACCATATTCTTATTTATTTGCCCATCTCCTTGGAATGTCGGACAATCTTCTCAACACAGATGAAAAAGAAACTTGAAGCAACAGAGATGTGGTTCTACTGTTGAATACTTACTTAACAAAAATAAAGTATTTACAGAATATATGGGAAGAACGGTATGTTTTTTTTTGTTTTGAGAATTTACGACAAAAATATAAAACACAGATTGCACACACTATTGTCCTCATCTTTGTTGTGGTAGGTGGTGGACCTTGTGCGTCACCTTCTGATCTTTCAATCTGTTTAATTTTTGTACTTGGCGGGCCTTGACTACATCGAATTCACGTCTGAAGGATTTATCCAGGTCATTTTGGACCCTTCTCTGCTCTTCTTCATGCTCGACCCACCCAAATAAATAAATTAAAAAAATACCCGCCATAATACGCTATTTCTGTTGACCCGTGACTTACTGTATGACAGTGACAATCATTATTTACAAGATCACAAAACTATGCAAACCAAGTACAATGTGAAATGTGTTATTTACTATTTTATAAATAAATGAAAAACAAATTTAGGTAACAGTATGATCTACCGAGGCATTTGCGACCTACCGTAAATGACAATGAACTCATTATTGCTGGAAAATGATCAGGAAAAAAAAAAACACAAAAAAAAAACAAAAAACGATGACCTGTTTACTGTTTTTTTTTTTTTAATGACATCAGATCAGGTTACAAAAAAAATCACTACTTGAGGATTTTAAAAAAATTTTTTGTATAAAAAATTGTTAATGATTTTTAAATACATAACTACTTCACTGCCTTAAACCCTAACCGTAATACTGACAACAATTGGTAAATAAATATTATTATACCATAGAAGAAAATGAATAGTAGATATCATAGAATAGTAGAAAATGGACGGTAGATATCATAGTTAAGAAGTAGCACCTAAATTTTTTTTATTCATAATTTTATAAAATTATCTATGAACTTTAGGACAAGTAAATTTATGTAGAAATAATTTTTTCTGGAGATTATACATTTTTTATTAAATTATCTTATATCTCAGATTACTTTGTTTTAATTTTCTTTTTTTTTATAATCGTGATTTTGAATCAAAGATGCCTAATTAATAGAAATCCAAATCCTGAAACGTCAGCATTGTTTACCCCGTCTTACTTAAATTTTAAATTGTTGCTAATTTTTCTAAAAGCATTGTCTAATTGCTAATCAATTCGAACTTTATAAAATGGCAACTAATAAGGTTTTCATTATAATTGGTTCACCTATGTTTATAATTTAGTAAATTTTTATAAATTTATGAATAAAAAAAATTGTTTCCATATTTATCTCTTTATAAATTGGTAAAATCTTGTAAAACAATCTATATTCTATTCTAATAATATCTGTTGATATTTCTGAGATGAGGTATTATGTACGCTATTTACTCTCCCAGGGGCTCGAGGATTTCTTCAACAGAATTACCAATGAAGAAGAACAGAGAAGGGCCCAAAATGACCTGGATAAATCATTCAGACGTGAATTCGATGTAGTGAAGGCCCGCCAAGTACAAAAATTAAACAGATTGAAAGATCAGAAGATGACGCACAAGGTCCACCACCCACCATAACAAAGATGAGGACAATAGTGTGTGCAATCTGTGTTTTATATTTTTGTCGTAAATTCTCAAGAACAAAGAAAATATAT